CCTTCCTTCCTTCCTTCCTTCCTTCCTTCCTTCCTTCCTTCCTTCCTTCCTTCCCACACATAATATAGGCTTTGCCCTCCCCTCACAACCCTCAGGAGAGCCCCGAGGAAGCCTCCTCCTCCTCGACTGACCCGTGGAACTGCCTGCCACTTTGCTAGCGGGAGGTGGAACAAAGGGGACTGCAGAGCATGAGGAAAACTGCACCCCCTCCCCATTCTGGTGTGTCCCTCGAGGGAGGAAGAGGGCTTACCCCTCGATCACCAGTGTCCCCCAGCCAGCCCTAACTTGCCAGCAGGCATCCAAGTTGCTCCCTCCTTCTTCCCTCAACACCCACCACTGTTAAGAGATTTCAAATTTCTGCCTCATTTCCAAACCAACCAATCGCTGCTCATCTGTCAGGCCTTGCCACCAGCCAGTTGGGCACAGGGGACAGAGGGAGGCAGGAAAGAGGTCAGGGATATGCCCATGGCAATCACATGACCTGGGCTGACTATGGCAGTGCAGCATTGCTGAAGCATCCACAAATTTCCCAAATTTCAATCCTACAGGAGTAATGGGTGCTGGATTTTGGATTTATTCTGTAAGTTAGCCCATTTGAGGTAGCTTGGTTCAAAAATTGTTGACCTACGATGCACTGTTTTGCCCAGCTCAAGGTTACAGACACAAGAGTTTTAGTAGTATATAGATACTGTATGAGTAGTATTGTGTAATTAACTTGAACCATTGTGTATTTAAGTTTAACCATTGTGCATTTAACTCAAATTTTGCTACAGTAGGCTCTGTTTTTAACTATGGGTTGCCAGAAACTAGGTGTTCTTAACCCAGGGACTACCGGTACCTAATCTTGGAGAAAGCCAGTCCAAAGGCCATGTTTTGTAATTTTATTGACTTCTTTCAATTATTGTAAATTTGAAACTGGGTGAGAAACAGCCCTGAATAGCAACCTGTGTGCTGAGTTGTCTGGGGTAGGGGGGCCTTTTCATATCACTTTTCCAAAGATATGCCTGCATTATTAACAATCATCACCAACCCTTCTTTCAGTCTTGCAACATTTTCAGCTAAAACCAGTTCAGCTCAAAACTACTTGACGCTGCCCATCACTGTCATTCCTGAAACAGTCTTGGTGAGTCTCAGCTCTACCCAGTTGATTCCCAAATTGCTGCTAATCTTCTGCAAATATGTGCGTGTGCCCTATATTGCCTCCTACCTTGGAAAACCCTATCCAACAATTGTGCCACCAACTTATTTTTTTTCTCTGTCCTTAAAATAAATGCTTTCATATTCTTGGCATTTCCTCAGGATAGAAGTTTACCTGGGCAATAAGCCAGTCAAGAACCAGCTTCTCAGACACCCATGATGTGGACCAATCAGAGATCAGCTCAGTTGGAAAGTTTCTTGCCTTTTATCCCATAAGCTCATCACCACTTGCTTTAAAAATCTTTTCTTGGCTCAGTGGAAAAGAGTTTTTTAAAATGCTTTAGGCCCTGTGAGATTAGGTCCCCTCTACTGAAGGCAGCAACTCTTCCAGTATGAGCCATGACATCCTGAGATATTCAGGGAAGGCCTTGTTATAGGGCTAGCCCTTCAGGGCCGGTCCTGCCGTGAGGTAGAATGAGGCAGCTGTATCAGAGAGCAGATTTATTTATATTTTAAATTTGTCACCGCCCGTCTCACTGCAGAGTGACTCTGGGCGGTTGGTGGTGAAAGTTGGTGGAAGGTGGCTACAAGTTATTGGAAACCCACACTCTCTTCAGCTGCTGGAGGTAGAAGTGGGTCATGTTAGCGTTCCTGGAGCATTGGTTAGTGAAGCAGGTTTTATAGCTGCAACAAGGAGATTTATTTACAGGGAAGGCATTATAGGAATTGCAAAGCCTAGCACAATGTTTCTCAACCTTGAGAACTTTACGATGTGTGGACTTCGACTCCCAGAATTCCCCAGCCAGCATGGCAGGCTGGGGGATTCTGGGAGTCGAAGTCCACACATCTTGAAGTTCCCAAGGTTGAGAAACACTGGCCTAGCACCTAGCTAGCCACATCCTACCAAGGATGAATCAAAGACTTCAGTGCAGGATGCCTGGGAACAAACACAGAAGGAAATGATCAGAGGTTAGTCATCTCATAAAACAAAGAGCAGGCAGAATGATCAAGAGGAAATCTTTACGTATCTACACCCTGCTGCCCTCTTGTGATTAGTAGGCCATGAAGGGGGGGGAAAGTCAGGCCCATTGGATTCAGATCTCCAACAGCAGCACCAAGGCTAGGCTGCTGCCTTCAGGTGCAAGGGAGGACAAGGCTCCGTCAGCTGAAGAAAGATTCAGCTGCCAGTCGAGTCCACATTTGTACTGGGTATGAAGGACTGTCTCGGCCAGCCCAACGTCTGCTACAGGAAGTAATGACAGCCGGGGTGAGGAGTTCAGCTTTTTTTGCTGATACACTGGCTTTGTAGAAGCTTTCCTTAAAGGGGCCCGCTGTTACAGGTAGTCCTCACTTACTGACTGCTCTGTTTGAAGTTACGACCAGTCAATGAACTTACAGCTGTCGCAGCATCCCCACAGTCATGTGATCAAAATTCAGTTGGTTGGCAACTGACATGCATCTACAACAGTCACAGGGTCCCGCGGTCATGTGATAACCATTTGTGACCTTCACAGCCAGCTTCCAACCAGCAAAGTCAATGGGGAAGCTGGCAGGAATTAGCAAGTCACGGTCACGTGATGTCACACTTAACAACTGTGGATGATTCACTTAGCGACCACAGCCAGAACTGACATCGTAAGTCAGGCATGGTCATGTTATGTTTCACTTAACAACCCCTTGAAACGTCAGACCTGGATATCGCTTAGTACATAACCTGAACCCAGACTAGGTACAGATCATGGTTAAGAAGGGAATCATAATCTGCAATCATGTTTTTTTTCTTGGTTTGGCAGCTCCAGTTTTGGTTCTGTACCTTGTCAAGATTCAGACCAATATCTTAGGGAAAGTACCTGTTGTTCCTCCAGGAAGACAAGAGAGGATACAAGCACAGTTAAAAATGGAGCCACTTTGTTTTAAATTAACCGATGGGGAATTTGAAAAACAAAATTTTGGGGTGAAGGTTTCCCAACTTGCAGCTCCTACTCTTTTTGGTTTGTTGGCTTTAGGGGGAAAAAAAACAACAGTGAGAACATCTTACTCTAGCTCAGTGTTTCTCAACCTTGGGAACTTTAAGATGCGTGGGGAATTCTGGGAGTTGGGGAATTCTGGCTGGGGAATTCTGGGAGTTGAAGTCCACGCATCTTAAAATTCCCAAGGTTGAAAAATACTGCTCTAGCCAAATAAAAAGGCTACATAAGAAAGCAACCAGCAAACTATAGCTAGATGTGCATTTCTGTATTGTCTATGTTCATGGCGTCCAAGAATCAATCTTTGATCCACGCTTAACACTAAGCATAGTCAGGTTCCTCATATGAATACGGTCAGAGCGCATCCTCAAGGCTTTAGGAGGTCTGACAGCCCAGGATTCTATATGAAAGTCATAGTGGCAAAAAGGATGGTAATATTTATAGATGACTAAAGTCTTCTGGGAATTGAGTTCAACTGCTAGGGTTTACATGGGCATCTCCGCTTATTGAGCCTGGTTGTTTTATTGCAGACATTTCATTACTCCACTAGGTAACATCTTCAGTGCAGCACTAAGGATGTTACTAGTAGGGTAATGAGACATCTGCAGGAAAACAACCAAGCTCAGAGAATCTCAAGGACTCCACTGTTCAACCCTGAGCTACAGATAGTCTCTTCTACTGGCATCTCCACTTAATTTTTCTTGGCAACAGTACAGAAGCGATTAGTCCTTGCCCTCTTCCAGGATGTGTTTTCAACTTCCCAGTCTAGCAACAGTCCTCAGATTATCTGGTTGCCTCCACATCCATCCTTGATTCGCTTATTGAGATCAGCTACTGTATGTGGGACTGGTGTTGCCATTCAGTCAGGCACAAATGTCTACTCATCAGTAGAGTTAGTGAATATGTGCTCCTCCTGCAGGAAATCGAAAAGATCCCACCAGTCTATCAGTTTCTCCGATTCGATATGCCGTGTGGAGCTGGCAGCCAGCACAAACCCGACTGCTCTCAGCACATCTGGCGCATGACATTTTCTGCTGAGGATGCTGAAGCTGCTGTTATTGTCCAGATCGACCCAAATCCCAGCGCTTTATCTTGCCACCGAGACGAGGGCAACACTAAGAAGCTCATCTGTGACTATAAGTTCGTATCTCTGCTTTCTGAACATCTGCATTACAGAATGTGCAGTCATCAACCTGCTGCTTTCCAGATGTACTTGAGCAACAACTCCAGGAATTCCAAAGGTCCCGCTCACTGGGAATTCTGCAAGTTTGTCTGCAACACATCTGGAAGGCACCAGATTGGAGATGCTGAGCTAGGCATGTCTTTTCAGTGGCTGCCTTCCCTCCTCTGGAATAGTTTCCCCCAGATGTTCAAATGACCTTCCCCTTCTGATTTTCAGAAGACAGTAAAGGCTTGGTTGTTCCATCCAGTCTTGGGGGCAGGATTGTTATGACTCTTCCTCTGCACAAACAGCTGGTTCTTTCACTTTTGAAAGTTTAGATTCCCAGTTTATGTATGTGATTTTTGCTTTTAGTTTTGATCCCATGACCAATGTTATATTTATCTTGACTATTTATCTTGCTTGTTTTTAACCTAAGCTTCTTTCTGTTTGTCTGTCTGTCTGTCTATCTATCCAATATAGAAGCTTAGCGCATCACATTTGAAATTTCCTGTCTTGTGGGCATTTCTGATGTCCACTCAGATATGATGTTTCTTCTACACAGTTAGGCTTTCCACACAGAAAGCAACAAGGAACCCCCTGTGAAATTCTCTATACATTAATCATGTATATATTTCTTGGGGAGGGAAGGGCAGGAGTAACATTCTAGATGTTAAAAAAGTCTTGCAAGAGCCCATCATTTGGCATTCTCTCTGGCCTTCCACATTGAATTTTGTCCATCCTGTAAATGTAATATAGGAAGAACCTGTTTAGACAAAGGCAATCACCACCAGCTTGCTCTAGTGCAGTGTTTCTCAAACTTGGCAACTTTAAGACATGTGGACTTCAACTCCTAGAATTGGCTGGCTGGCTGGCTGGCTGGCTGGGGGATTCTTGGGGTTGAAGTCCACGTGTCCTAAAGTTGGCCAGTTTTTGAAACACTGGTCTAGTAGGATGAACATTTTTCAGACAAGGGCTGCATTGTCTTGGTGGCAATCTTGGGTATTGTATGCTACTGTATTGGTAGGTGAATCTGAAGCCAGTAGATGGCAAAGTTAGAAGATCCCAGACAGGAGTATCTACCTTCTTTCTTTTT